CGCGGGACTGTTGCCACTCAGAAAAATGAGTGCGAAAAATTAGCGTTCTCTGACGTTTTTAACTAAATATCTCGGCTGAATTATAAAGTCGTACAAAGATGAGTAATAGGTCCAAATGGCTTTGACCACGAAGTTTTTGGAATCGGGAATAATGTATTTAATGTTTGGAATTGCTATTTTTATTTCATCATAAAACTTAGAAATTTTTTATTAACAAAAATTTATTATTTAATTGATAGCGAGTAGTGGCAACAACTTTCGAAATGAAGCAGATTTTTATCTCCAGCTTGCGAGACTGTTGCCACTCAAAAAATGAGGGCGAAAATTATTGTTTTTCTGAGTTTTAATTAATATCTCTGATTTTAGCTACTATTTTGGGGGGAGTAGACATTGACCTTTTCAGGATGCAGAAAAGAATTGTAGAAAGTTTGGTGATGATAGCTATAGTAGTGACTGAGATATTAGTGAACAAACACACACACGACTTTATATATACAGATTGAGTAATACCTGAATTTACATACCAATGCAAGAAAATTAATTAATCTTTTTGGTAGTCCATGCACAAAGATGGCCTAAGTAAAAATAAATATTTCTCTCAGACAGTGTGCCAGCACATATCAGTTCTCACATTAAATACCTTATGATCCCCGCACAAGATAAATATTCTAGTTAGTTATTCAGTTGTTATATTTCCAATTTTAAATCAATATAATTTTATTGTTACTTCCCTTTCTAAATGTGTTACATGCAGTTTAAGCCCATCATTCAACAAGAGATTCAAAATTTAGCTTCTTTCACAATGAAAAATGTCATGATGACCTTGCACGCAAATGTTGGGAAGATGGCAGAGCACCTGATTAGATTTTGTATACAATGCCCAATTTTCCCTCATATTAATGCACACTTCATTGGTGTGAGGAGTTGTTGAGTATGTTGTCAGTTATTCAGTTATAGCTGCTTCAGTAGCAAACTGACATGGATGGTTCTTTCTCTGTTTTATTTTCTTGACTTCTTTTATCTCTTCGAGTGTATACGTCTTACGGTTACTTCAAAATGTATAGATGACATAGCATTTTAATCAAAGTAAAAATAACTGCTGTACTACTTGATGAATTTTACACAAATCTGAATTGAATCTGATGAAAGTGATGGAAATGTAAAGCAAGAATTAATTAAAAATCAAAATTAATCCAAACATAAGTTATCCTTCTGAACACTGTAAAGCTTGGAACTTTATTATTAAAATCATACCTTTCTTTTGAAATATGAGTGTTTTTTTAAAGTATTTATATACTAGGATAATTACCTTGGTGCAGCCAGGTAATATTTTACTCCCCCAAAGAGTAATGCTGACTTACAATTATAAAAAAAAGTATTTGTTACATACCTATATGTTACGTTTTAATTGGACATTTATTCTGAAAATCTCACAAGAAAACTACTTACCAAAAGTAATTTTCTTGTTCTTTACTTAAAAATAAATTAATAAATAAAGAAGAAAAACAGTTTAATTCTAGTTCTCCTGGATGACTGGGAAATTTTCAGATAAATATATATTATGCCAATAAATATACATTTTCCAATACTGTGACAATAGACATGCCGTAAACATGCTGTATGTGAATAAGTAAAACTATTCCAAAGTTTAAATAAGAACAAAACCACATTCACTGCATTCTTCTACAAATGTGCATATACAAAACTTACTTATACAAAACTTACTAAAATTTAGGTGAAAAAAAAATCTTCATTTTCTCAAGATAAAAAGCTTTCATTGACTAAAAAATGGTTATTTTAGAAATGTAAGCTGATAATTGTAAATGCTTCATCGAAATTTGGAGAGTTATTGACATATACTGCTGTGATTTGGGGTAAAGGTGGACACTTAAACTAGTTTGGGTTGTTCAGATATTGTAAAACACGACAGCTATTTGTCTGGGATGAAACTGAAAAGGGGCAGAATAATGCATCAAAGAAAAAGTAATCTCTAGGCTATTGTTAACATACTAGCACTTAACTTCTTTGGAGGACCATAGCAATTTCTTTCGGACAGAAACTCAGCCTAACAACTGAGCCAAGGTGGTTAAGACGAACGTATTAGAAATATGCAAGGACGGACGGTGGTTAGTAGCCTCACACAATGAAACATTGAATGTGCTAATTTCAGGGGAACACAGCTTCCAACTAAAGTGAAAAATGACGAATATTACCTTTTCACCAGTGAAGTACAGTCATAGAATTTCCAATATTAAGAGAAGCTCTGTTTTGTAAAAAAAATTCTCCATGCTATATGTTACAGTGCTGTAGTTCTGAAATGACCTATTAGAATGGATTACTAAAATATGACAAAGCAAACTAAGCTATCTTCCTGTAAGAAGAGATACCTTTAATGAGAAATTGGCCTGTATTTTCTTTCTGGGTCTTCTTAAAAACACTTTCTTAATAATGATGGCAAATAGTGTTTCACAGAACAAGTAACAGCTCCAGCATTTATTAAATTACAGTGAAGTTTTAAATTAAAGTAAATAATTCCCTCTATTATCGAAAAAAAAACTTCATTTATTTCACCAGTGCATAATTTCCATATTCATCCGATGGCACAAGTAAAAGCTAATACGAAAGTCGGATTTAAATGTAAATGCTTTTAAAGAAAGCAACAAGAAAATATAGAATATGCCTTTAAAGGGACTGAAATAAGGTATGAATGAATGAAATTAGGGATAGTCAGCCGTAAATCTGTCTCAAAAAAGAGAAAGAGATAGTAAAGTATATGAAATTACATCGATTAAATACATCAATCATTACTTCCATGTAAAGTACATGCCACTACACACAAAAATAATTTGTGGAAATTTATTGGACATAAGAAAACACCACAGTTATGTCCTCCACCCAAAAAACGGGCATAAGCCATTTGCTTATATAAATGGTACAGGCGTATAAAAATCTATTACCCTTTCTAGATTCAAGAAATATATGTATATATATATACACAGTGGTGGCCAAAATTGTGGACACTTTTGGAAATTTTTATGTTTTTGAACTTTGTATGCTTATAGAAAATGTTATGTTTCGCAAAATGCACTTGTATATATCATTTTAAAGAGAATTTATTACTGAATTCAATACAAAACACAAAATTTAATTATTTGCAATACAAAAAAGTTATATGTACTTTAATATAAATAAAAAACACAGTTATGAAGTGGTTTGTAATGTCTAGCTTTCTGGCCAGTTCACTGTTCTTGTTCTGAGAACCAATCAAATGTTAGTAACTGCCAGTAGAAGCTGACATCATGTTTACACTTGAAACAATTCATTATTTTGCTTTGTTCTGTAGAAGGAGGACCTGTCTCTTATACACTACAATTATAAGTAGGAGTTTTTATAAAAATTTTTAATATTTAGTCAAGAAGCAATGACATCAAATAAAAGAGTAAATTGGACACCTAGAAAGAGATGTAATATTATTGTGTTACGAGAAAGTGGTCTTTCCTATGCTAAAATTGCAAGACAGGTGGGTGGTTCAGTGACTACATCTGGAGTTCGAAAGTTTTGTTTATGATATCAGGACACAAATTCAATAAAAAACAAAGAAGGAAAAGGCCGAAAAAGGTGCACCACATCTATTGATGACAGAAGAATAAAAAGACTGTCTCCAAGATAGAAAAATGTCATCAGCGGCCATCAGAAGTGATCTGAATGATGCTGGAGTTTCTGTCAGTTCAAGAACAATCAGGAGAAGATTAACAGATGTTGGGCTGAGAGGTAGAATTCCACGAAAAAGCCTTATCTTAATTGTAAGCAACGAAAAAAAAGACTACAGAGGGCAAAGGAACACATTAATTGGACAGATGATCAGTGGTCACAAGTTATATGGAGTGATGAAACTAAGATATCGTTATTCGGTAGTGATGGGTGAAAATATGTAAACGTAGAATAGAAGAGCTACATCCTGACTGCATTCAAGCAACTGTGAAGAACCCAGTTAGTGTTATGATTTGGTCATGCATGTCAGCAGATGGTATTGGTCGCCTTCATGTCATCGATGGGACACTGAATGCCAGAAAATACATTGACACTATTCTAGAACCAAAACTTCTACCTTCCGTCAGAGATATCTTTCCCAACAATGCTTCGTTTATTTTTCAGCAGGATTCTGCTCCTTGCCACACGGCCAAAATATCAAAAGAGTGGTTTCGTACAAAGAGCATTAAATTGTTGTCATGGCCAGGAAACAGTCCTGACCTCAATCCTATCGAAAATTTGTGGCACCGTTTGAAAACTCTTGTCCGAATGAGGCGCCCATCAAATAAAAGGGAACTAATTGAGGCTATAATTGTTTCCTGGCATCATGTAATAATGAAAGAGGAGCTTAAAACTTTTGTCAGCTCAATGAAACGTCGATGTGAAGCTGTAATAAAAAATAAAGGGTACCCTACTAAGTACTGATAACTCACTGCAATCATCACTATCTAATGTATATTGATAACTATTATCGTTTAACTTTTTTTTGCATTTCAAATAATTGAATTTTGTGTTTTGTATTGAATTCAGTAATAAATTCTCTTTAAAATGATATATAAAAGTTTGCATTTTGTGAAACGTAACATTTTCTATAAGCATACGAAGTTCAAAAACATATAAAAATTTCCAAAAGTGTCCACAGTTTTGGCCACCACTGTATATACACACAAATATAACCATATAAAAACTAACTTTTATTGCTTTAATTTTCAAATTGCCTGCTTCCTCTATCCTCCAGTTTCATGGTAATTGAATGTATATTGTATCTCACACATATTTTTAAATGCTTATTATTACAGTTGTTAAATTTTATAATGATAACTGCAGACACAATATTTAATAAATGAAATAAATCAGAAGAATAACACTAACACTTCACTTAATACGTTTTAACTGTCTATCCATATGTGCATATTATGAATGCTAAAGTAAAAATACATATCTAATGAAAAAGGAAAAATTACACTCACTCTTTTCCATTAAGAACAGATAGCCCTGTCTGGTATACATTTTATTTAATGTACCTGGATCTTGTGCTTTCTAAGATTAATAATTAAAGCATAGTGAAACTTCAGGTAAAAATTAAATTAAAAAGCAAAGCATTAAGCACAAAATATAGTTAAATTAAAAATAACAAGCATTTAAATTAAGCAATCTTTCACCAGGGAAGGATCCGTCTAAAGCAACATGAAATGTCATATTACAGCATTTACACATAATAATGCACCACACGTCAGTAAAAGAAAAAAGGCAATTTTTTTTATGGCTTCATCTCCAAGTATTCTTCAAGTTAGATATCTTGCATCAAACAATGTTAAAATACAATTTTAATCATGTTATTATTTAGTTCATATTATTAAAATATATGAATTTTTTCTCTTACCAAGAATTTTAAACTAGGAAATACTACTAAGAACTAATCACTCAAAAGGAGGAAGCAAATATCAAATTAACTGAATGCATTTCATAAAAATTTTATTAATAAAATAAAACATTATAAGATAATAAAGCATTTGTTGTAAGTGCTTGTAATTTAAGCCACAGGAATAAGTAAAATCAAAGTTGCAGTTAAAATATGATGTTAATAAAATCATAAATATTGCATGTGAAATTAAAAAAAAACATTATCAGATACAGAGAAAACTGAATCAAGCAATAAAACAAACTATGTCAGTTTGTTTCATGCAGTTAAAAAAATTAATGTTTAAATACAAAACAAAGACTATCTGCAGGTACCTACTGTCATATATATTACCATTTTTGCCCCCCTCTACACCATTTAATTTCTAAAGACTGGCTATGCAACTACAAAAATTTTCATTTAAAAAAAACATGAATCCTCGCAGATGGCAAAAGACTGCTTCACACAAGAGAGAACAAATAAATTAAGCATACAAATTGATGTTGGGTCAAAAATGCAGTTAAGACATGCAAAATAAATAAAAACAAAGCATTCATAATAAAATAATGCAGAAAATAAAAGCTTCTAGAAAATTAATAATTGCTATTTATGATGAATAGTGTTGAAAATAAGATATAAGTAAAATTCAGATTAAAAGTTCACTTTTTACTGTGAGGGGATGTACAGTAATACACAATTCAATACTGTAGAGTTTTGTGCTATCCATGGTAATACAAGGCAATAATGCCAAATACAGTCATGTCTGTTTCACAAATTTAAGAAAAAGCTATACTGATTAGTTAGTATCACAGAATAATACTGGCAGTTCTATAGATTTAACACCTATCCATAAATATTCTTTTTTAAAACTTCTTTGATTTATAATACTAGTTAAAATGAAACAAACCTAGGTGGCAAATGATGGCATTACAGCAACCTTTCACTTAACACAAATGTAGCATGTAAATCACTTAATTGCTTTGACTTCTTGCATATCAATAAGATTAAAATAAATGCAAATAGATAGCTTCAAGGAGGTATGAAAAGACACCATCCAGTTTCTGACATAAAAAGGTAGCAGACAAATTTCCTGAGATATGCAGATGATTTACAGAAATTTCTGCCTTATATGTGCCTTAAAATTTCTCGTAAAAGGATCTGTATGAATCTTTATATGGTTAAGCTATTAATAAGAAAGTAAACAGTAATACAGTAAACAGTATTATATTTTAAAGCGGCGTGGAAGCGACAAATTCTACCAATACCTTGGCAAAAACAAAACTTTCATTATTAACACTACACAACTGCTGCAGTGAGAAAAATTGATAAAAGTTAACTAAAGAATAAATATTAATCAGCAGCAATTAATGGCATCAGCAGAGGCTTCAACAGCACTCTCATCCATGCACATCTGATGCAAATGAAATGTATGTACAATAAATTCTAGTGCATTTAGCAGATGACTGGATATGACTATAAATAGATTTGTCATTATATAACTCATACACTAGTTAATGCTTACACTGAACAATCATAATGACAAGACACAGTCTGCTGGCCCTGGAACTCATTTATAATATTTTCCTCCTATCAGGAAGAGAGACCCCATTTCTGTCCAATACTGCTACCAGTGATGAGACAAGATGTCATTATTTTAGCAAAGTGTATGAGAAAAGAATACAGGCACTCACCATCGTCACAGTAAATAAAGCTTACTTGCTTTCAAATACTCGAAAAGTATTTGAATTTGAATTGAAAAATATCTGACTATTTCCCCCCCCTTCAATAAGCAATGATCCTGACAACTGAGCAGCTGGAAACTACTTGGCAGACTATGCTAAGTTTACAGCAATGTTTAAACTAAGTTCCAGAGAGCTATCAAAATAACAATGTCAAAGGATGTTGAACTATAAGAATCGTACTGTTGCATGCTCCCAACAGTGTGTTGTGCATTAAACTGTGCTTCTCTTACACTGTCATATAACACATGCAATCCAACTGCATACTTATGCTTCATTTGTGCTTGGTCACCTAGAAAGTTCTACAGGCTTTTTATGATAATACAAATGAGACGGTAGAAAATGATAAAATTTCATTGAATCACATAGGTCTCTACTTGTTCTATGACTTTATGCCATCTTACTGGCAGCTGGGGAAATTTTTTTTTTCAAAGGGTCATAAGGTTTATTCATAAGAAAGTTATCAAGTTCCCATTTAACTGCTCCCAAAGAAGTAAATTCCAGACTGTTCAGAGAATTTTGAAGTGACCTGAAGAGATGAAAATCTGATGGGACAAGATCATGAAAACATGAGCGGTGATACATTCATTGAAATATGGGACCATGCATTATTATGATGGAAGTCAACCGCTTGACAATTGGCCATTTTTAGGGAGCTTTGTTTTGATTTCTGCTTTTAAAACTGACAATTGGGAACAGTATTTTAATGCATTTATCGCAAAATTTGATTACTACATTTCATAATATACAATTTCTTTGCAGGCCCATTGTATGCAAACCATCTTTTTTTTTTTTAATGCTTTATGTACACTTCGGCCCCTCTCGATGTTACTAAAGGAAGTTCACTTGGCTTATTCCACGATCCTTTTGTAGCATTATTGTATAGTATCCACTTCTAAATTTCAGTAATCAGCCATTTAAGAAAACAAGTTTCTTTATTTTGTTTCAGCAAAGAATCGTATCTTGAAATTCTGAGAAAGCATATTCTGCTCTGTTGAAGTATGGGGTACCATACATCATCGCATGACCAGTATTCTTCAAATGATCATTTACTGTACTTTTCAGAATAGTCTCTTTGTCCAAAAGTCCCTGAACTGTATGACACATATTTTCAGAGACAGCTCTTTTAATAGGTCCTTGTTTTGAGAGGATGGTGACCCAGAGTGGGCATCATCTTTGCGGCCGAAATTTGCATGCTTACACCTCTCAAATCCTTTTCAAAATGTGTCTTCAGAAACAGCACTTTAACAATAAAGACGAAATTTAGTAGGAATCAAAGCAGTAATTTACCCTCTTTTAAAATAAAACAGCATAAGTTGCTAATTTCTCCATTCTTAGCACTGCATTGAAAAATAATTATGTTGCAACACATACTAGAATTATGCAACAAGAACAGAAAAGAACACATTTACATATCTGCTTCAATCAAGATCACTCCTTATCAACAGTAAAGAAAAATTAGAAAGCACTTTGATTTTTAAAACTGCACAATTTTCCGGATGACCCAATATAGCTTTTACGTGCTGGACTACACTGGAATGGAAACATGCATGGTCAGCAACAGGTTTCTCTGCATAAGTGTGATAAAAGTGTATAAAATAACATGTTATATTAAGTTGTCTTTTAAACAGTATTAAAACTTCTAGACCACCCCCAGAACAATATGATTTGAGAAGAGAATCATATTTTTGGAGAATATTAAAAATTTGCACCAGATAATCAAAACATTTGAGCTCTCATTAAATAAATATGTTACAGGCGAGTTTTTTTTTTTTTTTGGCAATATAGAAAAATGGCATTCTTGAACTTTTATACTTTTAAAAGAGTAAAAATGCATAACATTACACCAGTACAGAATATAAAATAAGATGAAGAATAAAATCATTTAGTTACTATATCCATGCACACAAAGTAAGACTTTCAGGACAGTTAGTTCCTCACACATGCAAAAAATATTTTTTTACATATTAAATGGGTTATTAAATGAAAGCAAAGTGCAGAAGGACTATTTGCCTAACAATTTTTTTAATATAGTTATAATATTATTATAACCATATTAAAAACATTTATATATATTTTAATACAGAATATAGTTTTGCTTTCTCGATATATAAGCTGTGTGGGTGAGTAGTGCAAAAATTTAAAAAAATCTGCCATTGACTTAATGACGATCTTTTCCATTCTTAATATTTCTGGTTTCTATGAATATCTCCAGATGATGAAAACATGAGACAATATTAACAGTATAGCAATTCTACGGCCATCCTAACTCAACATACCAACATCACCACGGTAATCTCTACATTACAGTGTTACCTTTCAGCCTTAGAACTCTGGATCGGACTGTATAAAATCAAAATTAATGTCGCTAAATGAGCTGCCACTTTATTCATCTGAAGAAACATCCCTCCTTTAGATAATCTAATTTTCTTTGGTGAACCTATTCCCTGGGTTACACTACTTGCAAATACCGTGATGTTTTACTAGACTCAAAATTAACTTGGCAACTTCACATTCAAAAAATTATTGCGAATGCGGAAGCTGTCAAAGCCAACCTGCGCCCCTTTTTCGCTAAATATAGCGACCTGTCACTTGATCACAAGATCTTGCTTTATAAATCTATCATAAGGCCTATTCTCACTTATAAGAGTCCCATCTGGGGCTCAGCTGCTCTGACTAACCGTAAACACTTCCAAATTTTTCAATCAAAATTTTTACGGCAGATATTAAACGCTCCATGGTTCATAAGGAACGATGACATTCATAACGACCTCAAAATTATGCCCATTAATCGCTTTACACAGTGACTTTCGGAAAGATTTTTCAAAAACATCCATCTTGTTGGAAATCCAGTATTACATACCCTGCCGGTATACGATCCTGCGGTTGTCTCTTCTAAAAAGCGACCCAGAGCAATCTTACAACCTGATTATGCTCAACTACCTTTTAAACAGCGCCGGTATTGGAATACAGACGCCCAAGTGGATGCTTACCTTCTCGTTCCTAAACACCAACCGCCCCGCGTTAACAATGCGTAAGGGCATTGACCGGAGGAACCCTGTTCTTTAACTCTTTAAGAAGAGTCTTCTAACGTTTCTTTAACAAGGGACAACTTATCTCCGCAGGCGCACACGCGACTGCACTTAATTTCTCAATAGCTTCTTAAAAGCTTCTTTCCACCCGCTAAATGGGTTGCTTTCGACCCCCCCTAAGCGGGCCTATAGACGTCGCACTAAATAGTGACCAAAAATTTTCTTCTCCTCCATCAGCTGTATCACACTGAACTGCTACTAGAACCCGCCTAACGGGTTTCCCCCCAGCCCTTTTTGCCCAACTCTCCGGATTGCTTGTCCTAAGGATTTTATTTTGCTGTTGATATCAAGAATCAAGGAAATGTATTACACCTTCTTATTCTTTTCAAAAAAAAAATTTTTTTTTTTGAATGTTGACTCCTTTCTCAAAATTTATTCCTGGCCCTTTTTAGATACAAAACTTAATTTAAAGACTTTCTAAGAGTTTTCCTTTTTTCTCATGTGAAAGGCATTATCTGAAAAGCTTTTATTTTTATAATTAGGCTTCAAAATTTTCCCTTATTAGATGAACCCCTCTTTTGATGTAATTATTTTATCTCTGATGATGTGGAGTTAAAGGCCTAGCCTAGCGCACTCCGTAAATTAACTTCCTTGATCTTTGATGCAGTGCAAGTGGCATTCTTAAACTTTAGGAAAGAGTAAAAGGAAAGACCAAATCAAAATGCATAACAGTACAGAATATAAAATAATAAAATTAGATGAAGAATAAAATCATTTAGTTAATATATCCACAGTTCCTCACACATGCAAAAAATATTTTTTTACAAGACTGTATTATTAAATGAAAGCAAAGCACAGAAGGACTATTTGCCTAACAATTTTTAAGAGTATGGTTTTGCTTTCTCGATATATAAGCTGGGTAGCTGAGTAGTGCAACAATTTTTAAAAAACATCTGTCATTGACTTGAGATGACCCTCTCCATTCTTAATATTTCTGGTTTCTATGAATATCTCCAGATGATGAAAACATGACACAATATTAACAGTATAGCAGTGCAAGATACTTACAAATTTAAAGAAAACTAAATGAAAAGGTTTCTGAGAAGCATTTCTATGGAACAAACAAAAACTCCATTTACATCTTTAATACCACATTTTTAACCCAAAACTTACATTATAAATATGCACTTGGTAAGATGGCAAACTATTCAGATTAGTAACTGAAAGCAAGCATATAAAATAATTTCATTAATCATATCAGATAACTGTTTAAATCAATCAATTTCTTCCCTCTCAGTTGAAGGATCAGTGAGAAATAGATAATATTTTATATAAAATAATATTTTCCAGCAGTAAATTAATGTAACAATCAAACTTTGAAACAATATAATTCTTAGAGTGAAATTAAAGTTGTAAATTTGAGCAAACTTGAATAACAAATATGGGAGCACAAAAGAAATTTGTCTGCTTAAGATTATGCCTATACATTTTAAATCATATGCTCTAAACATGTTTCAGTTATGTACTTCATTCAAATCTAGCACACAGATTATTTAATTTTTTTAAAAAAAAGAATTAAATCACTTTTTGCAAACTGCAATGCAAGCATTTTATTAGTAGCTTTAAGTCTCGGATTGGATAGTTTTTATTATTCCAAGGAGTGTATGATCATAATTTTTAAGGTCATAAAGACTATTTATTAGTAGTTTGTATGTCTCACATTCAAATGGTTTTTATTATTACAAGGAGTGGATGATCATAGTACCATACTATAATCAAAACAAAAAAAATGCCAACTATCGTTTAATTCCTTTTCTCAATTTTCAGCCATCGGAAAACACACAAATAGTAATTCACTATTTCAAGATGAAAATAATCAGACACTTAACTGGATACATATAACAGCACTACAATGAAAAATGAATATATTTTGTTCAGGATATTATGTAGTAAAACTAGGCATGTCTTTTCAAACAGTTGTTCTTACTAATTCTATTCACAATGTAAACATATATATACTGCTGTTAGTACCTTTTAAGCCTTTTCCTGAGATTTACTGAAAATCACTCAGATCTGAGAGGGTTACATATGGCTATGATAAACGTTTATAAAACATGCTATTGTTCTTCACACATTTAGCATCTTTTCACTGATAATCTCAGATTTAAGAAACCAGCACGAAAATTCAAAATTAGACTTCTGAATTATTCCAAACTTTATAATGATTCTAAAGTACAAAATTCTCACTAAATTATATTTTTGCTTATGTCCACGGATAAAAGATAACAGCAAAGAAAATCACACACTTAAAAGTTTAGGGGAGAGGAAAGTGATAAAAAGCAAATATTTTTCAAAACTATAAAAATACTGCCAAACATTTAGATGTGGTTATTAAACTAATAAAAATCTTATCTTTTTTTTATAATTCAAGAAAGCTCTTATTAATAGTATATGACCAATTTTGACATTTAACACAATTAGATTTCAATTAAAACAAAAATTATATGGGTTATGGCATTATTTTTCATGGAGCACACAAACAAGCTTCTAGACAGATGCTCATGGTAGATACTGACAACTAAAATAGCCAAGAACAGTCAATAATATCCAAACTGGGGTACTATGAAAGACCAAATAAGACTTTTAACTTCATCTTTACACTCTTCACATCACAAATGCACAGGTTTAACTGCAGGAATAAAAACATTGAAAGAGAAAACAAAAGAAACACAGCACTGAAAATTTAAAAAAAGTAACATATAAACACAATGGACATTAAATTTTAGTCTTCTACAGGTATGGCAATCTCATCCTCTCAAGGCAGAAAAATACATCCTTAATTAAAAAGGTATTTTTGTGCAAAGGTTCAGGTACTTTCAATGCTAGCCTATAAGTATTCAAATTTTAATTCTGATGAAAATTCCACATTTAGATGACTGCAAACTAGTGATTAAAAGAGGAGACTGAGGCAAATCTTTTAATATTTACATATGCATTACATCTAGAACCAAGGGGGGACTTGAAAACTTAATAATTGTACCTGAATAATAAGAGATAGACATTTACATACTTCTAATGTTTTTTTCTTAAGTTCTTCAGCTTCATTATAAGTAGCTTCAAAATTTTCTCTCGTCTGTAAGGTTAAAAACACAAGTATATATTATTATGCACACATACATATTTATAGACTACATCATAAATACATATGAAATATTCTTTGCATGTTTCCCATTACTAATTAAAAACTTGTAACAATAAATATGACTTCTAAGAGAACATGATATTCTAAGCAACTAAATGGATAAGCAAGCATGTATTTGCATTTGCAACTTTTTACCAGAACCACACATTAGCTATCCAGTTATAAATTCTTAAATTCAAGGAAAAGTCATATAAACATGGTCCTGTTATTTTATTAACAAAAGGGTAAGTAACATGAACAAAACATGGTTAATATATGAATACTTTATCAAAATATGACTAAATATTAGCTGCAAATTACACAAATTTTCTTAAGATTTCCTAACTTAAGGCTAACTTGAGATAATTAAAAATTGTTCAAAATAAATATAGCAGATCATTATAAATTTAAGCTAAAAAATTTCTATCATAAATTATTTTCCTCTCTCACTAGTAAACTAAATATTAAATTACTTAATTTTAATCAGGTATATAGTACAGCAAAATCCAGAAATCTGCAATGCTTTGGACTAGGGGTTGTGTGGACTTTAGGATTTTGTGGATTTCAGGACAGAAACGATAAATCATAATATTCAGACTAAAAGTGCAAAATACATAAAGCATATTAGATACATTTAATTAAATTATTATGGACGTTATTTATACATATACATTAATTTATTATATGCATTAAATTATTATATATATATATTATTTTATTATATTATTCCTTTATATTAGTGATTACAGAGACATTTAAAAGCATTAAGGACATATAAAAATAAGGGATATTAATAAGCATAAAATATTTAATTTTTTTTACATGTTCCTAACATTTTTCTGATAGAGGTTTGTTTTAAAATTTTAGGGTGTTCTAGAGTATTTTTGCACTGTGACACTCTGCTGTTCTAAAAATTTTAGGTATTTTTCACCATGTTCTAAACTATCATTAAAAGATATTTTTTCATTACTATCAAATTTACTATCTGTGTCAGTGTCTGAATCATTTTCTTGCTGTGGCGAGTATAAAAACAGTAACAATGATTTCATCATTGATCATCTGATATGCCACTGTTGGCTCATCTGAACACTTCATCCATTCAATGATATCTCCGTCTTGCAAGCCTCCTCATTTATTCTTTCGAATATAAAAGCAATTCTCTTCCTTTAACCCTTGCTGCACTGATTCTAAAATTCACTGTCATCACTCTCAGTTTCAATAAACAGAGAAGATGGGCATACATTACGCTGGGCATTTACTAATGTTGTTTGGGAAAAATAATTTCATGATTCCGCACACAAATAAATGCAGTCTTTGATGGAGAATTTTTTTTGTTTTTTGTAATCGCAAAGTGAAATAGAATGGTCACTTGAAAGAATGTTTTCCAGAAACTCTGATTTATAGTGGCATTTAATACTGTGTATTATGCCTTGGTCCATTGATTGGATCAATGATGTAGAATTTAAGGGCAGAAAAAGGGCCATGACGTTATCACATGTTAAAATGGTTGAATCTGGATGTGCAGAGCAGTTGTCTAAAAATAGTAAAATCTTGCAATTTGATGATATGCCCACACTATTACAATGCCCTCTAGTCTCTTTAACAAAATGCTCCATGAACCATTTGGTCATCAGTTGTTTTGTGAACCAGGAATTTTTATTATTCCTATAAATCGGATAAAGATTTTACTCCTTTCAGAACTCTGGGATTGGTGCTCTTAACTTGCTACCACTGGTTTACATTTGTAAGTTCCAGATGCATTGCTGCAAACTAAAATACTAACTCTTTCTTTAGCTTCTTTCACCCCTGACGGTGCACTTTCTTTACTTGTCACATGTCTTTCTTGGCAAACATTGGCAAAAAAGTCCAGTCTCGTCCATATTAAAAACCTGTTCTGGGCTAAGATTTTCTTCTGCCACTATCACAAAAAATTCATTAATAAATTCCTCTGCAGCACCTTTATCTGCTCAAAGTATTTCCACACATGCTTTCAGATGTCTCTGCTTAAATCTGTTCAGCCAACTGCTGCTGAAATTGCACGGCTCCTCTATTTTTAAATCATCATGAATACGTTTACCGTTTTCTCTCAAGAGAAGTCATGAAATTGGTACCCCATCACTCCGCCGCTGCCGGAACCACTCACATAAGACAGCATCAAGGTTTGCCAATTTTGCCTCCTGCAGATTTCCAGCTTCAGATTCCGGTGTTAGAATCACTGTTGCCGTAAAATTTCAACAAGTTTTCTTTATTTTTCTGTATCTCATACATGGTCCATGTCGCAACTCCATATAATTCTGGTATTAACCGAGGAGGAATACCTGCCATTATCTTATAAATTTCCACTTTTGCATTACTGTCACTGCAATGTGTTTACGTTTCTCAATGTTGCAAGCAGCAAATTCATGAACGTGTTTATTATCTGCCATTGTATTAAAAAGCGCTGAAATTTAAAATACTTTTAATTGATCCACAGAATATATGGATTAAAAAAATGGTTGCATTAAACAGATTCGTGGAATAACAAAGCTCAGAAAATAGAACAACGTGAATCGTAAATTGAAAGAAAAGTTGAGTGAATTGTCTGCTTTTTTACCTTGATGCAGATTGGAGGGGGAAAAAACTTTTACCATGATGTCAATAATTTGGTATTTCCGGCTGCGGTATATCCGTTATGACTCATTCTTATTGTGTAAGAATTTTTTTTTCTTTGGTATTTCATTTCCCATGTTGCAGTTTCCGGAACCTATAAAGTGAATGTTTATATATTGAAAGGCAACGCAGATTTTAGGAGTTGGTGGATTTCAGGTCGGAAGATTTTGGGTATTTGGCTGTACTTGTATCTGATAATTCCATCCCAACATTAGCAAAAGAACTTCAAAGGACAGAACCAAGGTCGTCATGCTTATATAACCATGACAGTATGTATAGTTCCCCAGTGAACATTTTTATTTACTGTAAAGCCCCGTTCACATGCAACGCTCTTTCGCGCAGCCACCGTTTGTATTAGGGAGAAACGGGGATATGAAACAGTTTCGCCTTCAGGATTGGTTCAGATGCACATCGTCTTCCATCCCTCAACCCGTAAGCCACTGCGAGCAATGAATGATGTCACAAACATGGATCGGATTAGCGGATTTCTAATGTTTTGCTCACATCATTTTTGGCATTGCTTACTATTGCTATTGAAAGCCATCGGAGTTTAACTCTTTAATTAACTAAAATACACCTAAATTAATTTAAAATGCAATTTATATATGAGACCAAATGGTTAAAAGAAGAAAAGAAATCACGTATATTGCTGAACAGTTTTAAATAAAATGTTTTCTGGCTGTTAAATTTTCAAACTTTGCTTTCTGAAAAAGTGAATAAAATGACAAATTAATATTATTTACAATAATTATAAACATTTTAATATTCATTATAAACATTTAGAAAATATGTTATAATTAATTCATGCATTAAAATTGTTTTGAACCTGTTTTACGAAGATTTTAAATAAAAGCTTGTAATTTATGTTTATATTAACCAATTGAATAGCACTAGGTTTTATATATATATAGATATTACGAAATTTAGTAATAACATTTTAAAGAAATTTGATATGATTTAATGATGATTTAGGCCGTTTATATTTTTTAAAGTGCTTTTTCTCAATTTGCATTTTTTCGACAAATCCTTTTATTTAATATCCTAAAACTTATATGGCCTAAATTATATAATATTTTTACCGCTTATTTAAAATTATATACCTTATAGAAACAATGGTGGGTTTTGCAAAATACTGAAAAGAAAATTTATTTGAAATGAAAATGTGAATGAGATATTTGTTTCAAAGTTTTTACACAAAAATATATTTTTATTTTTTTAGAAACTAATTTATTATTTGCAAAATCAATCATTAATGTTATTAAAAACTCTCTAATAAATACAATAAGAAAATTTGGAAAAAACATTGAAAACTGTGGGAGAAGAATGACATTTTAATTGTTAAACCTTTCTTCAAAAAATTTTAATTAAAAAAAAATTACTGGTCAAAAAAGTATTAAAAAAATTTGAAAGGTTTTTCAGATTTTAAGTTACACCCAAAGAGGCGCTTTTTTTTTTTTAATGTTTTGTATGTTACCTTTATTTATTAAATATCATGTTCTGCATACTCAAACCATAAAATTAAGTTCAACAGCAGTATCGCAAAATAATTTTAAAATGAGCATTATCTTTAGAATTTCCAATACAGAGTCGCACGCGCAGGAGATACAGAAGTTTTTTTCCCCCCATGAAGTTTTGCCATTTCTCGCTTTGAAATCATTGAGTTCGTTAATAAAAAAAATTCTGAAAGTTTTACACATGCAAGAAACATACATACATTTATGCAGATTCTTCATTATTTAATTATAATTTAAATATAATACAGGGCGATAATATTTGGTGGCAAGAATTTGAAAAATGATTCGCCGTTTAGTTTTCAACACAAAATGCCAAAACGAAATAAATAGTCTTTCAGGGCAAATTGTCCCTTTGGACTACAAATTTTCTTTCAGGTTAAAATTATCTTGTCTTACAAAACTATTTAATAATATTAAAAGAAAAGTAGATGAAAGATCTTAAATTTAAAAAAAATCATTCAAAAGGTACCGAATCCCTTTGCCTCATTGAAGACGATACGCGCGTCTTTAGTTTTAATTTGAACGGTATTTCTGGAATACCTAGCATCAGATAATCTTGTCTATAATAGTTTACAAATTTCCGTATTTCGTACGATTCCATTTAATTTTTTTGGACGATATCGCATCCCTAGGTACAATTATTTCACTGACAGCCCAGCGAGCAGTCAGTTGCACGTCAGCCATGTTGTTTGTTAAAATTAGAGAACGGCGCAATTGCGCAGTGCAGTATGGGAAATCTCCCCATTTGCCCTACTCCAGAGAGGTACGAACATTCAACCAAGTTCTGCCTCCAATTCGGCAAGGTAGTTAATACTTGTTCGCCATGTGAATGGGACACATTGGAAGAGCCGGTTTTCGCTACCGGTCAAATCTGCTCTTGTGAACAGAGGTTAAGTGCCAAGGGAAGGAGACATGACTAACACTCAGTGCAAGTGGATTGTGACTTTCAGACCTAGTAGAAGTATCAGCAGAAATTTCTTGTGACATTCAAAATTTTTCAGAAGTAATTCAAGATGAAAACCTGCAATTGGATTTGTTTTCCTTGTCATACATTTATTCAAACAATAAGGTATCCCTAATCAAAATACAAACACAAGAAAGCATTATTATACTATTTAACCATTTTGGGGGGGTGTTGTTTGAATGTAGCAAAAAACATCAGAATTACAAGGACACCTAAGGAGAGGAACACCTATATGAGAATTCTCTGAGGATAATTTACTTGCAACTGCAATATGTGGGGAAAACCACAAAAACACCAATACAGCCAGACCATTCACTGAGACATAAACCCTGACTGAACCTGCCATCCTGACAGAAATATTCAGAAATACACAGGTGAAATAAATTAAGAGAATTTACATATTTTATTGAATTGCATGGAAAAAACTGAACTGAAGGAAACACTACGGCTTCTACATAAAAATGCAAATCTTGCATTTCAAATACATAAGCGCACACATCTGTGTAGGCGGAACCAGCAGAAAAACACGCTTTATAAGCAAGCGTGTGGAGGGTAAGATAGATTGCATTTGCTAGCACACCATGGCGAATTTCTTGGTGTTATCTTGCAGCAATAGGTAGCAAAAGAAAGCCTGGGCAAAGTCGTCCAAAAGTTACGATGGCCAGAGAAGATCGCTATTTGTCCATTTTAGTGAGGCATAACAGAGGGGTTACAGCTTCTCAGCTCATTCGGGACATGTATGCAGCTACAGGAGCCTGAGTAACAAGGGTGACTGTTTGCAAAAGACTGAATGAGAGAGGGTTGTTTGCCAGAAGACCGGCTGTTTGCATCCCACTCACATCTACGAACAGAAGAGTACGATTAGCATAGTGATTGGAGTATGGACTAAAATGGGACCGTTCTGTACACTGACAGGTCCTGTTTTAGCCTAAACACTGATTCTCGCCGTACTTTCATATGGAAAGAGCCAGGGACCCGCTACCTAGCCTTCAATGTCCGCAAAATCAACAATTATGGCGGTGGTGGTGTAATGGTCTGGGCAAGCATCATGTTGGATGGCCGCACACCTCTCCACGTCTTTGACAGAGGCTCTGTGACTGGTGTGAGGCATAGGGATGAGGTCTTAGAGCCCTATGTTTGCCTTTTCCGTTTCTCGAGAGTGAGGATATTCGCCGGATGGATTGGCCAGCCAGGTCTCTACACCTCAACCCTATACAGCATGTCTGGGACGCTCTGGGGAGGGCAATTGAAACTCGCAACCCTCCTCCGAGAACCATCCTGGACCTGAAAACAGTGTTGCTGAATGAGTGGGACCAATTGCCACAGGCACTGATAAACTCCCTTATTTCCAGTATGACATCATGCTGCGAGGCCTGTATGGCTGTAAGAGAGGACCATACCCCCTATTAACCCATTTCTTTTGTGTCTTCTGACACTGCTGTTTCAGACCTTCAGACTCCCATGAGTGTTACACACAAACATGTGTGTCTATTATAAATGTTCAATGTTTATTTTCTTTGTATTAAATCAACCTATGTTCACAACAAATTTTATTAAAATCTGTAGAGTAGTTCTGGAGATCCTAGATCAAATATGCAAATTCTCTTAATCTATTTTGCCACTGTATGACACGCTGATAGTTTCTTGATTAACAGTCATCTTATTATACATGTCACTTTATTGCTTACTTCCTTAACTTTCATCGATTCCAAGATTTTGGAAATTTATGAGGGAAGATTACAGTTGCCAGAAACATCAAGCACTCAAAAATAAGTGATTATTGTTTCTTTTAGTACACAGCTAGCATTAACTCTGGGTGAGTAAAATTTTTTTCATGAGGAAAAGATATAAGCAGATAAATTCATTCCCTTTTGTTTAGATGATGGATGATTATTCTGAAAGAATTTGAATTCTTGTTCTGAACTTATATTAAGTTATGTGTTAGAAACAGAAAGTTGTGAATGACTGTATTTATATTAAAATTTTTATATCTGATATTACTGTACATCATTTTTGTTTATATGTAAAATTCTAAAATTTAATAAAATTCATATAAGTTTGATAAAAATTTGACAATTTATACAAGTTCCTAAATACAGCAAAAACACTTAAATAGCTTTATGACCCACTTTGATAGCTTTATGCTTTTAATGGCATTATTTTTGCACACTCAAACTGAACAAACGTTTTTTACATAATCTATGAAAAAGGCAAAATCATTCATATTAAAAGCATGAATAATAACTGCACTGCCTTCGGAAAAATTTGATACAAATTAGAAATGATTGCATGAAACAAGCCTAAAAGCTGCTTCTAACTTCTATTAATTATGCCTTTAAATTTTGTTTCAACTATCATGGTACAGTAAAATATCTTTGTATTATAGTTCTTAAAAATTAAATTTGCATTAATTTTAACAGGGACGAAAGCAACTTTTACATACTCTCTGAAGTCGCCGTTGTAAATCATTCATAAATGTTTTGAATTCATTAGCCACTTCATAACCTAAAAGAGAAAACAAATTTACAAAATTCAAATTCCAACTTAAATCAAGCTTTTATGGAAACTAGAACTATTGATTTAAAAAGTAACAAAGATACAGATCATTCAAATTCATACAACCAACCACATATTTTACCTACAGCATATATAAAATACAATTCATATAAACATGGTTATACATATATATTAATCCCTTGACATACAATGACGTCTGGGAGATGTCATTCACTTCATGTGTCATTGTAGACTTCGACATCTCAAGACTGCAAGAACTTTCTTCAGTGAATGCCGTGCCATATATCATTAGGTTCTTTAACTGCTGCAGTCGTGCCTTGATCCTGTTTTATATGTTTTCCCTCTCTCAACAGAAAAATACAGTTGATTCCGGTTAATCAGACCACATCGGGAAATGATCGTTTTGGTCCTAATAACTGGCTGGTCCGATTACACGAACATGTCTTATGTTGTAACACAGGACATGCTATATGTAGGAAACAGTAAATATACATGTAAATCAGGTATTAAAATGTAATTATGAACTTTATGGTGCAGTACACACGTATGGTGAACATACATGTACAAACAAGAAATACAGTCCAACTTTTTTTCATTGAGAAAATTAATTTAGAAACAAATTCTAAGAAACAAAACGATACTCAACACGTGAAGCACAATAAAAACAATTTCTTACCAAGTTCCAGTCAACATTTGAAGAACTTGTCAAATGTGATCTGACACGTTCTCGTGACATATTGCATGTGAACGAAATCGCCACAAACATCTAACGCAGCAACGGGAGTGCCTTCATTTCCCTCCTGCACGAAATACTGACACAAAGTTTCAATGCATTTCTTTGCATCCTGTGTTGTCACTTGCACCAACTTATTAGCGGAATCATCATCATCACTTTCTTGGTCTTCTGATGTTGTCGTGTGTTTTGCTGCAACTCGAGCAATGATTGCAGCATCGTAATCTTCATTTTCATTGTAGCATTGAAGCTCATTGTCAATGGATAAAAATTCTTCGCAATTTTGTATCTGTTGAAGTTCCACATGTAAATCATTATTTTCACTTTCAATGAGCATGTCCACATTGATCTCTGAAAACCAAGTGCTTAAAGCCACAGTGAGAAAAACAGTTCTGAATTGTCACACTGCTCACTTTTTGCCAGCTGTCGGCCACAAATATAACTGCTTGTGAGATGTTGACCTTTGTACTGACTTCGTTGGCTTTCGACGATAAGGTCAGCAAACTTTCTTCAATTGCTTCAAGGATGTAATTAACCAACCTTGCATGATAAAGGGTCTTCAAATTTTTTATGATGCCCATGTCCATTGGCTGGATCAAAGCTGTGGTCCTGGGAGGTAGAAATTCCAGTTGGACGTTCATCAAGCAATCTAAATGAGGATGTGCTGCACAATTGTCAAGAAGAAGCAACACTTTTCTCGACTGGCATTGTAGCTCTGTCCCAATCCTTCAGCCATTCTTTAAAAAGTTCAGAGGTCATCCACGCATTTCTTTTCGCATGATACAAAACTAGTAAACTCTCCATCCTAAGTCCTTTAAAGCAGCGAGGCTTAGTGCTTTTTCCTATAACCAACATCTTCCTCTTGTCCATTCCTAACATGTTTGAGCAGCACAAGACAGTTATGCAATCCATCACTTTTTTGGAGCCAGAGAGTGCAACATGTTTGTAACTTAACGTGCCCTCCGGTGTAGCACGATAATACAGCTCTCTCATCAGCATTGTAGATGTAATCTGCTAAAAAATTTTCAAGAAGCTCGGGCAGTTTTGTTGATTTCCCAGCATTTGCACTATCAGCACTTTCTTTCTTGCCATGTGCTTTCTTGAATTTTATGTCATGTCTAGATTTTCATCGAGACAACCAACCGTCCATAACTTTAAAGTCATTGTGGCCCAGCTTTTTAGCGAGTTCTGCTTTGCATTGAACATTGGGCCGCTTACTCGCACAGATCGTCCAGTAACAATGGCGAACCATTTCATTTTATTTTAAGGGCCTCATTGACATCTGCGTCCTTGCCTTCACGCTTCCGTTTTTTGGAAGTTCCTCCTTGTCCTTCACATTGTGCCCATTCTTCTCGCAGCTCATTCTCTTATTTTATCAAACGTGAAATTGTAGTATTTGCCAATCCGGTTATTTCCACCAACCGACGCTGACTAGTGTTTCGTGGCTGTTGCTTGATCTTATCCAGGAAACCAATTTTTTCAGCTAACGTCAAGTCCCATCGTGGCATTTTGGCAGGGGAGACAAGACATGCGCACAGTTCACTGACTAAAGTGGTCTGAAGAAACCTTGGTGTTTCGGGTTCAAGATGTTGAGGTCAAGAGGGAGATAAAATGCTTGCCATTCAAAGCTTTGGCACTAAAATCATCCCAAAATAATGATGAAATGATAGCTTTCTCATGTAAACTTTAATCATGATTGACAGGCGGGAATTCCTTTCAGGTGGAGTCAGACACTCTATTGTTCATTTCCTCGAAACTCAAAGGTGCAGGTCAAAGAAAATGGTGTGCATGTTCACATCCCACCAGTTTCGATTTTGCCATGCACTTAAAGGAATTCCTGACCTTTGATAGAGCATTTTCCTGAGGGGCCACAACTACAGATCCTCCCATATGTCGCAGACCACTTGTACATCCGCTGAACGCGGCCGACTTGTGGCTTCTGTTTCTTATTCACTCTCATGTTTTTGGTCCGATTAAACAGAATTTTGGTCCAAATAAGCGAATAATATTAGGCTTATTGTTGGAAAATATAGCTTATTTTTAAACCTTTTACTGCATCATCTCTCCTCCTTGAAATGTTTATTTAGGTTAGTCCTTATTTTAATATAATATAGTAGTTACTTCTACTTCTTTTCTTGCTGCCACTGTTTGCATTGAAAACGGACTGTTTCAACCTAATTGAGATGCAAAAACGAAACATGATTTACGTCATCTGAAAAGCCGATTCGTGCCGATAGCTGATTGGTTGCCGTGAGATGACGTCATTCCTACTTCTGCTATAAGTATCTCGCGTCGCTCTGGCTCAGCCCTTCTAGTTCCTGGTTTCCCGACTAGTCAGTGAGTGGTTTCCAGCCCCTTCAAGGGATGCATGCAGTCCGGTGAAAAAATGCCTTGATTCCGGTTTGCGAGATGATGGTTCCAGATTGAAGTTCTTCGGTTCCGGGGGCTATCCTGTGAGTGACTGCCGTCGGCGTCGTCCATGTTTCTTCAATGAGGGCGGAATTAAAAATACGTGAGCGGAGACGATTCCTTGTGCAAACAGAGTTAGGCCGGTTTTAGGTGTTTTCCCATTTAAATTTTTCAGGTGTTTTCTTGACCATTGATTATGGACATATTGAATGAGTAGCCAGCTTTATTTTTAGGCTGCATAGTCACTATTTAGGACATTTTCATTTTTTTGTTTTTGTTTGTATAGAATGCCAGTGTTTTGGAGTACAGGTAAAAATATTTGATGAATGATGATTATGTTGTGTTTTTCCTAATACTCTAATATTGTTGACATTTATTTTTGTGTTTTTATTTTTATTATATTGTTAATAAATTGGTTAAGTTCAAAATCTTTTATTGTCTTCAATGTCTGCACAACATAACTCAGGGAGCTTTCATTGCTACTACTGCTAAATGTTTAATTTCTTTAAACTTTAAACTTTGCTTTAGCATCATTTTGGTTATGGGCCCAGTAGCTCCTGAGTTATTTTTAGTGCAGACTTTTGAAGTTTAAAGTTAATTTAGGACTTAAGAGATTGGGGGGCGGTTTTTGTTAAAATTCAAATATGGCTACTGTTAGTGTCATGCACAATATTGCTAAACTTGATGCATGTAATTATTTTACATGGTCCAAAGATATGAAGTTTGTCTTGAATGAAAAAAATGCATGGCTTTTGGTCAAAGCTATTGAGAAATGTCCTGATTTAGATGATGTTAAGGGTATTGCACAAAAGAAATTATTGCCGACTATCAAAATAGAAGTCGATTGGCATTATCGTTAATTTATATGAATGTAAGCCCTGAATATAGAAACTTTGATATGTGAAATTGATGACCCGGTAGTGGCATGGAATACGCTTGCCAAATACTTCCAGCCAGATTATCGGTCAAGACATATGTCCCTGTTTTCAGAGTTTCTTAAATTGTAAAATTAAGCCAAATGAAAGTATTAGTTTCTTTTCTTCTAGATTAAAACGCGTAACTGAACAGTTAGCTGATATTAATCAGGCTGTAAGAGACGTATATATATGTTTTCCAGTTTCTTAGGTTCCTTCCAGATAAATTTGATCAAGTAGTTCAGAATATTTTGAGGTGGCCAGATGAAAAGTTCATTTTTAAAAATGTTGAACTTGAAATACTAGCAGAGGAAACGCGTCTTAATTTAAGAGAGACAGATAGGGAAAACTCCAATAAGACTATAGAAGTTCAAAGTACTCACTGTGAACCCAAATTTAAGCAGATTAAAGGGCTCAAGTGTTATAAATGTGGCCGTCCAGGTCATATTCAAAAATACTGTAGAATGAGAAGGTAATTTTTCCAGATCACCCTCACCTGCTTCTTCTGTTTCCTCAGCTGTATCTAGTAGTAATAAAACATCTTCTAAGTGTAAGAATAAACCCAAGTTGAGTAAAGGTAAAATAATTCCCATGCTCAGTCCCATTTTCATAGCTCAAGCTAATGTTAACAATTTGGAAGGAAAATGATGATAGTTGGATTTTTGATACGGCTGCATCTCATCATTTTTGTAAAAATCGTGAATTGTTTGATACTTTTTCTCCTGTGAAAAATGAGAATATGCTAGTAGCTATTGATGGGGTAACTTTTCCAATTCATGGGAAGGGTACTGTTAAAATGAAATTTGGGGATACGGTTATTTTGCTTAAAGATGTGTTATATTCACCTGAACTGAGACGAAATTTAATATCTGGACCTAGGGTGGATATCAATGGAGCGAAGATTTTATGGTAAAAATGGGCAAATTAAAGTT